CTTATAATTTCATGGCTGCAGTCTCGTCTGCGGTGATCTTGGAGCCCCAATAAATTAAGTCTGTTACTGCTTTCATTTCTACCCCTTCTATTTGCCAGGAATTGATGGGTCCAGATGCCATGATCTTAGTCTTTTATTAGGTGTTGGCAAATTGAAAAACTGGCCACTCGAACATAATTTCTAATATTCATTTATCTTCTGCACAACAATATCAGAGGCCTGTTGCCCCCCGTTCTTGATCTCCAGCTTTTTCCTGATCTATCTTCTACCTCACCTTCCATTTTCCTGTACCGTGCTTGGACTCCATGGCAGCTTGCCATGAGCAAGGCCCCAGACTGCCCATGAATGAAAATTGCGACAAAGTGTCAACAAATATGCCATGTCTCAGAGATCTAAGCAAAATTCTTCTCACCTTTTATCATGCTTCTGCACATTTATCACTACACTTTTACAATTCTTAGCGGAGAGACAGATCTGCTTTTCATAGCTTTCACAGGATGAATTCTTCTGCTGCAAGTAGTGGGTTTTCAGGTCCCTCAATTTGTGTCCCGAGTAAGAGGACCACAGAGTGCTCTTGAATCTGTCAACAGAGGCAATCTCTGTAAAGAAAAAAAAGACATTGCTGAAGTTACTCAACCCAAGCCTGTCCTTTGTTTCCATACCTAGGCATGCTTGTTAAAGTCAGACGTTAAATTAGAAAGTTTTCACCTTTCTTACTTGTTTGTTCATACAGTGTTTTCATCCATGCAGTATTGTATTAAGTTTCAGGCAGAACACAGAAAAGGCAAATAAATACGGTAAGAATGAATATTTAATAGTGCTGCCAAGCAATTGAAGCAAACATCTGGGTTAAAAAGTTATTAAAGCCATATCCTTATTCTGAAACATGGAAAAAAACAAGGAACAGTTTTCAGTTGCTGAAGGATGAATGTTTTTTCCTATTTTTGTCTCTCTATTCTTCAGTAAACTTTGAAAATGATAAGCAAACAAACAAAAAATGTTTTCAGTTTTTCGCCCCCCACTAAAAAAGAGCAAAGAAAGTGAATGCTTTGTTTCATCATCTGAAAATCATATATCATTTTATGAGCTATTTGCTTTTCAAGTATGCCCCAACACGCATTTGGTGAAGAATGATCCAAAAAAGTGGTTGCTAAGGTATAAAATGATGAATGTGAACATGTTCTTCTTATGAGAGTGAATATCAAATAAGTTCTGACTGAAGTGACCAATAATAGCCAAATTGCAATAATTTCTTTGGTTTGAAGACTGTTAGTCCCTGATAGGTCCAATTCCTATTATGATATTTTACCTAAAGGATAAAAGGCACCCCTTTTTTGAGAGAGAATATGGCTGTCACCTTGCTGCCCTGAGTCACACTGGGGAAGCTCTAGCAAAATAAATCAAGACCAGAACTTAATAAAGACCAAAATTAGAGCAGGTGCAGACTCATTTCTCCTACCCTGGCTCCACTTTGCTTATTCCTTTCCCACTTAGTTTAGATGGGCTTCCAGTTCAAGTATTTTTGTTGTACTTTTTTTTAAAATAAACAGGTCGTTTTCTCTCTACGGACAGCTATTCTATAGAAACATGTTTGTCTAGAATTGCACAAGAATTTTCCAAAGAAACATAAACTAAATTGCTTGATTACATGCTTTCCTGAAAAGCATTTCATGCAAATATTAAGAAAGGAGACATAGAACTTGGTAATGTAGTATGACATAGTATGTGCTTTTTGTCATTAAATTTTTAGTACCTAGTATGAGAATTTTTAGATTCCCACCTGCCAGTTAAATTGGGAAAAAATAATTAGCACTGTAGTAAGTATACAGTTGCATAATAAAAGAAAAGTGATTTGTGTTGCTGTGTATACATGTACAGTATATACACAACCCATCATCAGTAAGAAATGAGCAAGAGATCTCAGGTAGTCCTTGGGTTACGACGGCAACTGGGGACTGGGAATTCTGTCGCTAGGCAATGTGGTTATAAAGTGCGATGTCATGACCATGTTGCTTAGCAACGGCAATTCCAGCAGCCCTGCTTGCCATTGTTAAACAGGGACTGCGTGGGTCATTAAGCGAGGACCTCATGTGATTGCGACTTCTGACTTCCTCCGGCTTCCCCATTGACTTTGCTTGTGAGAAGCCAGCAGGAAACTGCAGCTCGCTGCAACATTGCAATTGCAAGCCGGGCACTAAGCACCAGATCATGATCACATGACCACGGGGATACTGTAACAGCCGGAATTCTGAGGACCCAACGGAAGTCCCTCTTGTTCAGTGCTGTTATAATTTTGAACAGTCACTGAATGAATGGTCATAACCCAAGGACTACTTATAGTTGATATTTTCTGTTCTGCCTTCCAATCAAAAAGTATTTTTGCCTTACATTTTTTGCCCACAAAGAACTACTTTCTTTGGGCTGTAAGAATAATACCATTACCATATACTATGTTTGCAAGAATTACACCTTTGCAGAACATGCAACATACCAGCATCCCTTCGCTTCCTTTCTTTTACGGGTACTCTGCGTTTGGGAAAACGCAGCTGTTTAGTGATCCATTTTTTATAAGACGGACAAGTGCTGAGGTTAACTAGTCGCAATACTTCACAAATGCCCTGTTGAAACAAAACCAAAACAAAAGGCAGTTGAACAGATAACATGGACCCAAAGCTGGAAATCTTGTTGAATGGAGATCTGTGAGGTAAAGGTAATGAATGGAGAACAATGACATTCTAAATGTAGGCAGCTTATAATATCAAGAAAAGAAATCTGTTCACCAATCTGATCAGTCAGTATTGCATTACGTATAAGTTTTCAAAATCAATACCTAAATTAGGAATTGGCAAAATGACCCAGAGCCATATGTGATCCAAGACTCTGTTCAGGGGTTCATTGTCAGCCCTTCAAGGTAGACTAGACAAGGAAACCAAAGTCGTGAATGCTAATACTACTTTATAGGGTTACAGTAACAGAATCTTGCAAGTCTGAAAGTGCCTCCCTGCTCCCTGCCTTTATCCTAAAGACAGTTAGGGAGGGTTGAGGCTCAGACACTTTCTCAAATTACATTTCTGTAATAATCTACCCACTTGTGAATTTGTAGATAAAAACATTATAACTGTTAGAAAGAAAAGGGTGCAAACTATATTATAAAACATGAATCCAAAGTAAATCTCACCTTGGTAATAAATATCATACTGTATGTTTCTGCAAGGTCAGTGGTAATCACCTGTCCAAAATGGTATTTCTCAATTTTGCAGAAATTAGCTATTTTATCTATTGAAGAATCAGGCAGTGTTTGAAAAAGATCTAGATTCCTAAAAACAGAAAGAATATGTCTATTCTTATCAACTGTTTATTTAACTACAAACTGAAAGCTTTCAGTTAACTTCAAAGCAAAGTGCTCAGTGATGGCTCTGGCATATTCTGTTTCTAAACTCAGGTCTACTCCACTATGTCAGCAATTCCATCTGAAGATATAAGGGATCACAGGCAAAGGAAACCCCGTGGTTAATTTTTTCCAAGGCTAGCGCCCGACACCATTCCTCTTATTTTGTCGGCCTGGTGTAGGAAAGACTCCTGAGCTGATGCAACTCAGCGGACAACCCACCATTTAATTCCTCTGAAATACAATGTCCTATAGATCTATGGGCATACTGTGCTGCATTCTGAAAAATGAAAATGATGACAAAGCCTGGAGCAGATGCCTAAGTTCTAAATAATAGATGTCATTGCTGCTGCTGTTCCCTCTTGCTCCCAAGCTGCCACCAACAGCAACAGTAGGTGACAAATAAAACTGATGATGATGATGATGATGATGAAGAAGAAGAAGAAGAAGAAGAAGAAGAAGAAGAAGAAGAAGAAGAAGAAGAAGAAGAAGAAGAAGAAGAAGAAGAAGAAGAAGAAGATGATAGAGGAAGCTCAGGAAGAAGAATAATTGAAATAGTTCCTGCTGGGTTTCAGTAGGGAGCCTTGGAGATGAACCTTGGAGAAACCATCCAGATGCTGTTAAGAAAACAACAGGTGCAGAAGAAGCATGTGTTAAGCCAGGAGGCAGAAAAATATTAGAAAGAGACTCAGGCCAGATCCCCATGGACAACCTGGGGTATAAGAGAGATGGAAGGGAAAACACAGGTGGACTTGCAAGATTTTGCTACTAGAGTCTATCTCAATAAAGTAGAGTTTGGCCTGCTTGCAGAGTCAGTTTCCTGATGTGGTCTACCTTATAGGGCTGACATCAATCTTTCTCCGAGGTTATCTCTGTGATTCCCTACAGTTTCCAACCAGCAACATTTGATTTGTGAAGCAAAAGTTACAGGTAGGGTAATGGGGAGGTTTAAAAGGCACTAGAGCTCATTTGCAGGGATATTCTTACCTCTGCAAAGAAGCCAATGAACGGTGAAGGGCAGCCTGCAATAAACTGAAATGCTCTAATGCAAATGGACAGGAATGCTTGAGGCAACCTAACAGGGGGAAGTGTACAGTATTTCACGAGTAGAGCAGAGCAGAGCTGTGTGCCCTGTGAAGGTGAGTGGGGGATTCAGAGAGGGTGATGTCATCTGTTCCTGCCGGGATGTTCTGGGGACAGGCAACGGCGTAACTGAGTGGATGAGCCCCAAAGCAACTTGTTTCAGGCAGCATTATAAGGAAGATATCATGAAGGCATAAACTGATTTCTGCTGCTGCAAAACTATTATACATTGGTTCTAGATGGGGGAATGGCACCCTCTGGATTTTCTCCCAAGCAGCAAAATTGGATTTTTTCTCTCAAGCCTGCTCTTATATGAGAATTCTGAGCAAAAAACAGAGATCAGAAATATGGACAATCTCTATAGTGCTACTTCATTAATTAAAAAAAAAAACAGTGGATGCAAAACAGCCTGATTCTTTTCCCACCCACCAATAAAATAACATAAAATAATAAAATAAAATAAAGGTTGTAATAATAAATAATAATATTAATATTTAATAATAAATAAATGGTTAATGGAAAAGATTATAAAAGGCTGGGTCAGAAAGAAATGCATGTTTAACTCTCTCTAAATGTAAATGGGGAAAATAAGGATTAAAACTCCTAACTGTAATTTCTGCAGCAGTGTAATAGCAGCTAACTTTTATTTTCACAATTATGAGCCCAAATCATCCCAAATCAATCCACTGCTGGATGAAGGCCTCTTCACTGAAAGTTATTGGCCACAATTTACCACACTGGTCCAGCGTGGGTTGGTATATAGATGTTTTCTGAATTCCTAGTCTGAGAGAAAGTAATTGACCCCAAATCACCCAGCTGGCTTCTATGCCTAAGGAAGAACTGGAACCAGGGTCCCTCCACTCATAGTTCACACCACAATAGCTCTCAGACAGACAGACAGACAGACAGACAGACAGACAGACAGGCAGTTCAAATGTCCTGGTCTCTTATTGAAAAAGAAACACCTTTCATATATGGAGTTCTTTCCATAAAGGCTGATTAGTTGAACCAAAGCCAAACCCAAGGAAAAAACAATGGAGAAGAGTGATAGAAAGGTTTACCTCAAAAAATCATAGCGGGTTTTGAATTCATGTTGAAGTTCCTTATCTAGTTTAAAAGCAAAAAAATTCTTTTTATCCACCACCAGCAGTTCCGTTTCCTCCATACAGACAACAGTGGCAATTCTTTTTGTTTTTTGCAAAAGGGCAATTTCCTGTTAATAAGCAAGAGATAAATGAGAGAGAATGCCATTGTGGTTGATTCCTCCTCTCTTCCTAATGTACCTGTACCTGTACCCGTGCCTGTTCCTTTTCC